CTATCAATTGCATTAGGACACTTCTATATTTTTTATGGATGCACTGTTAACTATATATATATACCATTTTTTCGAAAATTATCGGATGTACATACACCCCGCCGTATGATGTGGGCCCGCGCCTGACTGAATCAATACTAGACCAATAATTTATGATTGGCTAAGATTTCAGAAAATGCTTCCATGAAGAAGCTTACTATTTTGTTTTCTAATTTTTCCACTACTCAAAATGAATTATGAAGTCCCACCACTCCCTCCCCTCCCACACCCAAAACGATGTATTAAATTCAACGAGTTGTTCCAAAGGATCAAAATAGCTATTTATATATGAAATTCATGCAGACTCTTGATAAAATACTCTTTGGATTTATTTTTTTTAAAAAAAATTGACTACTCCAAAACTTGACAAAACATACTACTCCTTTCATCTCAATTAATAAAACATCGTTTGACTTGATACAAAATTTAAAAAAAGAAAAAAACTATAAGATTTTCATTAGGATATAAGAAAAACTTCAAATTTTTTTTGGATGAACTAAAAAAAGAAATGTGACTAATTTCAAGTAATTATACACATTAATATCAAGAATTTAAGACAATGACAAGCGTCGTAAAGAGGATATGCCATTAAACAATCTCACATTAATGATGAAGAATGGATTTTCTACAAAAAATGTAGCCAATGAGAATTGAAAGCAAATAAAGAAGATATAATTCCACCATCCACGCTGGCAAATGGGAGATGTAGGGCCCTACAAGAAAACAAGCGTGTGGAGATCAAAGACGCCACGTGTGAAACGAATAAATCCACGTGGCGAAGCGTGGGAGGAAGGTCGAGATCGCGCTTCCCATTTTACACCATCCTCTTATCAACACAACGAAATCCCCTCTTCTTTCCCTCCCTCGAAATTGAACCCTCAATTTCTCTCTCTAGTTTTACTTGGACAAGAGAAAATCGCCGTCTCTTTCATCTTTAATTACAAAAAATTAAAAAAAATAAAATAGCAACTGCTGCTGCTGCTTTAGCCCCGCCATGTCCGCTATTGCTACTTCTGCTGCTCTCTTTTTTCCTTTCTCTTTTTGCCGCTCAACTAAGACTTATACTAGAAAGGTAACTCTTTTTATCTTATGGTTCGAATAGATTGATTTATAGTTACATAAATATCTCTGGCTTATTTTTTTTTTTAAAACTACAATTGCATGAACTCGGACGGAGAGACTATATTATATGCTGCTAACTGGTTTTCTAGAAAAATGAGTCAATTGACATGTTGAAGAAGACGAACTTTTATGGGCAAACTTTTACGTTTTCGTGTGCCTTTCTGAGGTCTAGTAGTGTTTTTGATTAATAATCAGTGATAGTTAAGAGAAGAAATGTAAGTGCATTTACGAAATTTGTTAAAAGTGATGCTTCAGTTGTGTTTTTGACTATTATGAACGTTACCAGTTAAGATAGCAAGGAAAAACGATTTCTGGCCATAAGTGAGGTAATCAGTTATTTAAGAAGTTAATCTCAATCTGAATACAGAGAACTGTACACTGTTTGCATTTTGTCCATCAGATGAGTGATTGAGTGGACGATAATTCTGCAATTTGTTCATTGTCAGTGTTTCAAAGGTGGATTTGGAGTGTTTGCAGTGTATGAGGAGGCAGCGGGTACTGAGTTATCAAACAAGAAGAGCTCCTGGTTGACAATCTTTGATGTAGAAGATCCAAGGTCAAAATTCCCTCAGTCTAAAGGGAAGTTCCTGGATGCAAATCAAGCTTTAGAAGTTGCTAGATTTGATATACAGTATTGTGATTGGCGAGCTCGTCAAGACGTACTCACAATAATGCTCCTGCACGAAAAGGTAGATTCTTGTACATCTTGTGCTTACCCCCTTAGCTTCATTTCTGCTAATTAGCGACTAATCCTTCTTTGGAGTTTGTTTCAATGTATATTGTCAATAGTTTTCTTCTTTTTCGTCCTATGTACTAAGTCGCGTGACTGGGGTATACTGTATGAGTAGGTTGTGGAAGTATTGAATCCTCTAGCACGGGAGTATAAATCTATTGGAACTGTGAAGAAGGAACTTGCGGATTTACAAGAAGCACTTTCTCAAGCCCATAAAGAGGTATATGCTACTTTGATACCATTGAACAAAATAATGTTATTGGATACTACAAGTCGTTCCTTTTCTAGATTTTTGGGTAGATAGGTAACACATCAAATATTTTCCCGTTATTATTGATTGTTCGGGTTTAGTTTCCTTTTATCTCTAAAACCTTTTGAAGCAAAACAAGATTTTCTTAAGAAAAAATGGCTAATTTCATAGATAAACTGGTTCAAGAAAAGAAAAATGAAAAAAACAACACAAAAAGCAAGTTTGGATTCCGTGTATTTCCATGATTTGTATCTAAAGTAGTGATAGCAACAGGTACATATATCTGAGGTGCGGGTTTCTGCTGCTTTAGATAAGCTAGCTTACATGGAAGCGTTGGTTAATGATAGGCTACTACCAGAGAGGACTACAGAAGAATCAGATTCCCCTTCTTCATCCCCCGGTACATCTACAGTATCTAGAGATAATGTTAAAAGCAAGCAGCCTAGAAGATCCCTCAATGTGTCAGGTCCTGTTCAAGAATACAGCCCCCATTTGAAGAACTTCTGGTATCCTGTTGCTTTCTCCGCTGATATTAAGGATAATACCATGGTAAGTAATAATCTTATTTGCAGAACTGCAGACATTATGTTATCTACAAACTAACTAATAAGTCCCCTGGGAAAATGCTTTGGACATATTTATCCAATACTCTGATGCGAACCAATAGCATGTTGTACCATCTCCTTTCTAACTTTCTGAGAGAAAAGAGAACGCGATTTTTTTGCCTTTTGCTGTATTCTAGTGTCTCGTGTATTGATGGTTATTCAACTATAACGTATCAGATACCAATTGAATGCTTTGAGGAACCATGGGTGATTTTTCGTGGCAAAGATGGAAAACCTGGATGTGTCCGGAACACATGTGCACATAGAGCCTGCCCCCTTCATTTGGGTTCAGTGAAAGAGGGTCGAATTCAATGCCCTTATCATGGTGAGAATAGACGAATCTAAGCATTCTTCAGTGCAAATTTCCTATCTAGGATAGTAAAACACTTGATCAATTTGGTGTTTGATCGTGGAGAGTGCATGCAATAACTGACATTTACTTCTATGTTTGTTTGATGATCGACCTTAGGGTGGGAATATTCAACAGACGGAAAATGTGAGAAAATGCCATCAACAAAATTTCTGAATGTCAAGATCAAATCTCTGCCATGCTTTGAGCAAGAAGGAATGATATGGATATGGCCTGGAAATGATCCTCCTACAGCCACTCTTCCTTCTCTACTTCCACCTTCTGGATTTCAAATCCATGCAGAGGTTTGAATCACTAACAACATTTTAATCATTATAGGAAAACCATCTAACAACAGTAAGTTAACTCTTTCTGCTCCATTCTTGTTGTTCTTTAAACTGGCAGATAGTGATGGAACTTCCCGTGGAACATGGGTTGCTTTTAGACAATCTGTTGGATCTTGCCCATGCGCCTTTCACCCATACATCTACGTTTGCTAAAGGATGGAGTGTCCCAAGGTTTGTTGTTATTATAATGATTTAAAATAGTTTAGAAGTTAGAGCAACACTAATTAACTAATCTTCAGTTTAAAACTAAACAAAATGCCAACATATTACCTGTCTGATGAATAGCAGTAATAACCCGAAGATGTGAACACTTACTTGATACCTCCCTTTTTCAGCTTTGTAAATTTTTTGACTCCGGCATCTGGTCTGCAAGGATATTGGGATCCTTATCCAATAGATATGGAATTTCGACCACCTTGTATGGTTCTATCAACCATTGGAATCTCAAAGCCAGGCAAATTGGAGGGGCAGAGCACCAGAGAGTGCTCTACACATCTTCACCAACTTCATGTATGTTTACCTGCATCTCGACAGAAGACAAGGTTGCTATATAGGATGTCACTGGATTTTGCTCCCATATTAAAACACATGCCTTTCATGCAATATGTGTGGAGGCATTTCGCTGAACAGGTTAGATTATATCCTTAACGTTGAGTTGGTAATGTCTGTGATTACAGAAAACTAGTAATGATGTAAATCAGTGTCATTTGACTTCTTCAAAATGCATCACCTGCACAAATCACAATACCTATAACGACGAATTCTCCTGCATAAACGTTCTCAGGTTTTAAATGAAGACCTACGGCTTGTGATTGGTCAACAAGACCGGATGCTCAAGGGTGCTAACATTTGGAACCTGCCTGTATCATACGATAAGCTAGGAGTGAGGTATAGAATATGGAGAGATGCTGTAGAGAGTGGAGCAAAGCAATTGCCATTCAGCAAATGAAAACATGGAACTAATCCATGGATAGATTTTACATCTCAAGATGATTGATCGTACATTCTAAACAACCTTAGCTCTCTGAAGAACTTCAGTTGCCGAGAATCTTAGTTTGGTATATAACACGATTGCCACACTTGTTGCTCTGAGGATATACCAGAGCATCCTGAAAATGAGATGATTTCAGTATAGCTTCCCTAGTAAAAATTAAACTGTACACTAATTGTTTTTAGGTTCATGTACAGTTTAAACACCCTTGACCCCTGCCCATCAATTCTTTCATGTTTTCCCTAGTATGCCTCCTAGAAAATGTGCAGGCTCTATTGAAAGTCATGGAAATGGTCCTCCAACTTGTATCATAGTATCAATCTTTTCGAATTTTTGAATTGAATACACAATTTTTTCGCCAAAATGAAACGAGAAGATCTGATTGTCTAGCTGTTTTCTCCAAACATATGTTCTTTCAGTGGCGAGTCCATGGATGGTATGGAAATTTGATTGGTAACTGGGCAGGTCTAAGTTGGTCCAATTGGACACCCTTCATCGGAAATAGGATACATATATATAACATTTTGAGCACCAATAGTTACCACCAGCGTAGTGGCAAGGATATGGATGAAACTACATGGCGCCAGTTTTGATTCCTAAAGCTCAAATTTATTCCACAAACTCATTGATTACAAGACAGGAAGAGGAACATAATTACAAAGTATTTCAAACCCAGAAGCGACTGTAATTACATAATATAGAATATTCAGTCACAGTGCATTACCACAAAAGGGACAGAATCGGAAATCGGCGTCCACTTCCCGGCGACAGAACTGACATCTAAGTACGTCCGCCGTAGACGACGGCGGAGGAGGAGTTAGAGATTGAGGGAAGAAGAGTTTGCAGTCGTTGCAGTACATCACCGGCTCTTTTCCCGGCCATCTCCACACCGGAACAAAGAAGAGCTTGAGAACCTTTTCATAGTCGACGAGGTCGGCGCGTGAACCGCACGCAATGCACCTCCCTGCCCCGCTCTTCAATACCTGCCTCGCCTGCTGCTCTAAGCCTCCTACGAAGAAGAAGAACATTGTTTATGATACTTTGATTCGTTGATTAGGTTATGAATGAGAGCAAACTGCAAAGTGGAGTTTTTGAAGAGATGGAGAAGAAAATTTCTAGAGGATTCGTGGGTATCCTGGTAGGCTTGAGAATCAAGTTATTCGGGTATTGTTCGTTGGGTCACTGATGTCCAGCTCATTAGTGTTATTGGCCCGTTTAATTAGTACAAAATGAAATCGAAAATTAGTTAAATTTAAAAAAATTCTGATTAGTGATTTAGTTTGACTTGGTTTGGTGTTGAGAAATTTTTTTTGACTATTTTAGGATTGATTTAGTTTCAACTAAGAAAAACCAATCCGACATTATATATATAATTTTAAAATTTTATTTTATATAAAAATATACTTACTTTCATATAATTTTTAAATATCATTTACACTTTTTTCATAGTTTTATCTTTTAATATATTTAGTTAGAATTCTTAATGGTCTAATAAAGATTATAGTCCATATATGTTGGTAATTATAACAAAATTTAAATAAAAATCAAACTAATGTTAATTCAAAAAGAAAATCAATTCAATACTAAGAATGACAATAATATTGAATATTTTTTTTTTAATTTTACATAGATTTAGACAATTAAATACATGATCTAATTTTACTTTCTTTTAATATTTAGTCATGTAACTAATACTTACTAAACTTATTTTAGCATGATGTAGTACTTTAAATTATGATCACTTTCATTATGACTTATTAATTTGCAATATTTATTATATGCGATTTTACTACTCCCTCCGTCTGGTAATTATTTGTCTTGGTTTCTATTTTTAGAGTCAAACTATAAAAACTTTGACTAACATTTTAGATGTATTTTTTCATCATATTAATACGCAAAAAATTGCAATTTATAGTACTTTTCATATAGTTTTATAATATCTAATTTTTTTGTTTAAAATATCGAATTAATGTGATCTAATTTAACTTTGAAAATTTATCAAATTGACTTTCGAAAAGAGCAACATGACAAACAATTCCGGACGGAGGAAGTATTATTTAGTGTTGGATATATTAGTGTTATTAATCATATCATTTTTTTTGTTATTTTCTTGAGAAATAACTTAGATAATTGCAATTTGGTGGGACTAAAGAAATATTTAAAGTACAAGTAAATTATATGTTTGTATGAACACTTTATCAAAAAAACTTGAAAATTCAAAAAATTTGAAAAAACTCAAAGTTGAAAAACTCGAGTTTTATTAGTTTACTTTGATTTATAAATTCAAAAATACGACACAAATAATTTGATTTGATACTTGAAAAACTCAAATCAACCCGATCATGTACGCCCTTAATACAAATTCAAGATTTTGCACAGATAATCCCTTTTTCAAGGTGAACTTTAATTTTTATTTAAATGAACGAAAATTTATAGAGTAAAGTGTTTTTAACTATAAATTCATTTATAGAGCTATTACCTTACATGGCAAGATTAAAAATCTGTAATAATAAGTTATGTCTTACATTTGTTACATGTCTCGTATTCTTCTAATATATAAGTTAGCTAGAAAGTAAGCGGCATAACTTATTTTTCCTTTTATCACTTTTAAAATATGAATATTAGTTAGGAGGCGTTTTATTTCTAATATGGAATTTTTCGGTTCAAACCAAATTTTGTTGGACTTCATTGTTCGCTCCGAACATCAGGTGCTTTTTTTTAAAAATAAAATAAAAAAGATATATATATATATATATATATATATTATTTTTAATTTAGAGAGTGGTTATTTACACGGATAATACGAAACCAATCTCCTCAATGCAACTTTGAGTCGAACATGCCGCATAAGACTTGCCTAATACTGTTTACATTTTCTGTACAGTATGCATGCTATTATCTTGAGATTTAAAAAACAAACAAAAAACTATATATTGTAAAATATTGATATGCTGATATATATATTTTTGGTTAGTATCTTTTTTTTAGAAAAATATTGTGTTTAGAATTTTCACTTTTTTCTGTTTCTCTTCATCTGTTTTTTGAGAGTAAGACTTCTTAATTTAAAATATAGATTTGTGTATGTTAGAGCAGTTACATAGTAATTGTTCCCAGGGGCATAGCTATATATCCTTCAGGGACACATTTCGACGGGAAATTATATATAAGTAAAATAATATATAAAATGGTTAAATAATGTATTTTGAACACCCTTAACATAACTAGGTGTTGTAGTCTAGTGGTTTAATGTGCCTTGAACCAAGTTTTTAAGCATTTGTGAGTTCAAATCTCGCTAGCAATAGCTTTAAGCCCCTTATATTAAATTTTTTCATGTATATTTCCAAATTTTACCTCTTTTTTCAAAAAATTTCATGTATATAACATATTTTTTTTCAAAAATTTTCATGTATATTACCGTATTAAGTATTTTTTTCAAAAATGATCATACATATTACATAGTTTTATTTTAAAATTTCTAGAGCACTTTTTCATCAATTTTTTTTGGATATATTACATAATTTTTTCATGTATATGACGTAGTTTTATTTTTAAAAATTCTGATGCACTGATTCATCCAAATGAAAAAATGTACTCGTATATAATTCCTGGACATCCTTCGTGAAAAATCTGGCTACGCCACTGATTGTTCCCACCCCTATTTTAAATTAGGGCAACTTTCACATATAGCAAACAAAAAATTCATATTTGTATGCTATAACAAAATTTGCATAATTGCGCTCTATAACAAACATAAAACTATATAATACATATACAATTGTATAATCTGGCCTAAATTGTATAATTCGCAGGCCTATTTCGCTGCAATTGTATAATTCGCTATCTATTTCACTGCGATTGTATAATACATAATTGTATAATTCGCTGCAATATTTTTATAAAATTTGTTATGCATAGAGTTGAATCCAATTAAAATGTATGTATATTGCATAATTATAAGTATATAGCAAGAAAATATATCTTTTTCTCTCGCTTTATACAAAAACAGAAACACAATATATACACTTCTGTTGTATAAAACTAGAGAAAATTGTATTTCACTGCAATTGTATAATTCGTTGGCCTTTTTCTCTGCAATATTTAAAGTAAAATGTTTGTAAATTGTATAATTAAGTGTATAACACGAAGATATATATTTTTGCATGTGTATATACAATTTTCTCTTGCTTTATACAAAACAGAAACAGAATTTATACACTTTTGTGTATAAAGTGAGAGAGGTGAGTGAGAATGGAGAGTGGCGAGCGAGATTTTTGGGACAGAAACGCCAGAAAAACTTTTGCTAACGTTTGCTATAGAGCACAATTAAATCAAACCCTAGCTACTCCATTTATTTTAGGTTATTAGTTTGCTATTATATACAATTTTCCCTTTAAAGGGCTTAAGACTTCTCTCCTTTTATCAGATGACATTTTGAGTCGGGTCGATCCACGGCCCAAAAACTTACATTTCCCACTTCTTATAACCAGCCACTTTAGTCCATTTTATTTAAAAAAGATGAATAAAATCATGTGCTAATATATTAGGGGACATCTTCAAAGATTCAAACTCTTTAAATTTTTTCTCTTTTCCCTTTTGAATGGCTTTTGGTTCTTGATAAATTTTATGTCGCATTTGGGACTCCAATTTGTACGATTTTGCGCCCTCTGAAACATGTCTTACAACTTACTCTTCTACTATATCCCTCTGGTCGACTTTTGAGAACTTTCCCTTGGAGTAATTTAAGCATATTTCCGTTCAGTCATGTCTGAAATGAGAACAAAATGAAAATATGGTTAATATCATTTAATGCGACAACATATGTCACAAATTTGTAAAAGGCAAGGAACATAAGGATTAAACCCTAAACTAATTTTTCGAGACCAATTTTAATACATATAAATATTATAATCTAGTCAAAACAAGTGATCACTGTTCTTCATAGTAAAAAAGATAATTCATGGTCTCTAAAAAAAATCAAAGGCGGTTCCACAATCTAATTTGACTATTTAAAAATAAAGTTATTTTAAAATAAATACTAAAAATAAATATTTTGTTACGTAAAAAAGATACTTCAATAGCACTGTCTATTTTTCATTTAAAAAACAATAGTATTTTATGATTTCACAGAAAATGATATAAATATTTTATAAAAAAAAATTGGACAATATTCTTTCCTCTTTTTTTTTTTCAATACTTAATAGAAAAGGATTAAAATATTGTTTTTTTTTATTTATAATAGTAATGCACAAGTACCCTCTCAACATATTCCCGAAATCTCAGAGACACATTTATGCTATACTAAGGTCCTATTCTAATAAGATGATCTTATTAGAATTTTTTGTTTTTATTTCCTGCTGATTGTATTTATGTTCTGAAGATTGTGTTATTCTAATATCGTCGCACATGTGAATATTTTAATTTGAATTAATTTTCTGCTTATTATTTTCCTCTAAATGATATGTAAACTGATATATGGTAAGTAGATATTTAGCTAGATTGCACTTACATAAAATCTATGTGGATTCCTTTGTCTAGAGATTGGATATGAAATCTATAAAAGATTTTTTGGAGCCGAAATTGGATATGAAATCTATAAAAGATTTGTTGGAGCCGAAAATGATAAGGAAGCTTAAGCAGATTAAGACATATCTTTTAACCGAAGGTAATAATCAAACTATGTTTATAATTTAGTACTTTTTTTGTGTTCGTACTTTTTTTACTGATCAAATTTTAATTATCTTTTTTACTGATCAAAACGTCTTAAACTTCTGTATTACATTTTCATTTTGTCTACCTATCATATGATAAGCACTATATCCAATATGTCTACCTGTTGTAAGCATTATATCCATTTTATCTACATAATCTATGTATTATATGGGAAGCACTACATCAATTATATTTGTTGGGTGGTCTTAGGCCTTCTCAACTCAAAAGCTAACTCAAAGGTTGAGGCTTTCCCTCACACTTATAAATTGACCACCAGCCCCTTCCACTTCCGATGTGGGATAACCCAACAATCTCCCCCTTCACACATCGGGCCTTGGGATGGAGAGAACGACAAACCAGTTTCTCCCGGTGGGCTAAGACTTGTTGACAACCTGGGCTCTGATACCAATATTGGGTGGTCTTGGGCCTTCTCAACAACAAAAGTTAGCTCAAAGGTTGAGGCTTTCCCTCATACTTATATATTTGGACTTACAAGGTCTAAAAGGCAAAAAGAACAAACTGAAA